TAAGCAGAGATGCCAGGGTCCTGCCAGGTGCCTTCCTTACTCATTCCTCTTATAGGAAGGCTAAATTTCCTATGGTGGCCAGCATACCAATCCATGAGGTCATTTCATCTTCATTGCTCTCTTGGAAAGGAGATATTCACATCTCCATTTTGCAAATGAGAACACTGAGGTGCAGAAGAGTTAAGTATCTTGCTCATGATCACCCAACTAGTCAGTAGCAGAGCCAAGGGCCTTACTTCACTCACGCTTTGTTACTTATAAATGAGGATTCTATTGATGTTAAGGATAACAGTGACAGTGTCTGAAAGCTCTGTGTCGTCTGGTACCCAAACATTTTCTCTGTGCAACCAGAGTTGCCTACAGCCCTTGGCACTGTTCTTAGCATGTAGAAGATAATCCACGACCATTTCTCCAGAATAGTGTTTTTAGCCTGGGTCCATGACATCTGTTAAAGCCTCTAAACATGGAGGTAAAATTCAGCATGCGTGAAATAATGTGGATTATTTTGGAAAGAGAGCCCAGAGCTCTTATCAAAGGTGCTAGAACCCAAAAAGGCTCTACGGGTCTGAGGGGTGGGGAGGGAGACCAAGGTAATCCTGGCTGTCAAGAGAAAAGAAGAAAAAAGAAAAAACTCAGTATCCAGCACTGATTGGGTTCTCTGGGAAGCAGACTCTGAGTTCAGAGTGCTGAATGTTTTTTACTAAGGGATGCACTTGACATCAACACCCATGGAAGGAAGAGGAGGAACACAGCATGAGGCAAAAAGAGAAGTCAGATGCAATGGAGGTACAACAAAAGCCTTGGCCAATCCCATTGCAGGCTCTGGAGTGAGAATGACCTATCAACTTACTCTGTGTTGGGTCAAAATGGCTGAGCGTTTATATCACCACTTCAATTAGCCATTGGATGCAGACATCCCTGGGAAGCACGTGACTTTGTGTCAAGTAGCTCTCTTCAGCTGAGGCAATCCCTGAAGTGGCCGATGGGGCTGACCGCTGAAGGCAGCCTCCAACAGCACTCCTAGAGCTGGGCAAGAGTCCTTCCTGGAAGGAGGGTCTGGGTGGTGCATCACCAAACCCACCCAGTATCTCTGCTCTTAGGAAAGCAGTATAGATTAAATGATAACCACCCACCCACTCATTCACCCATATGTCCATCCATCTAGCCATTCATTTCACATTTATTAAACATGCTTCATGAGCCAGCCTACTGTGATAAGCGCCTGTGAGAAAAAGGTGTACGTGGAAGTCTGGTGGAGGAGAGAGACATGTCAATGAATAATCAAAGCACAGAGTGGTCACTGTTGAAATAGAGGCAAGCACCAAGAATCATTAGAGCACATTGGACGGGGGACTGATTCTTTCTAGGGGCAATGAGTGAGTCTTGAAGATTCCTCAGAGGCTGTGGGTCCCATGACTTGGTGACACCCCAGACCAAGGACCTTCACTGTGTTTTTGCTCCAGTGATGGAGAGGAGTGAGCAGTGGGAGGAAGCCTCAAGGAAGCCAGTCCACCTTCGAATCTCCCTAAAAACTCTGAGAGTTAGTCTGGAGGGCTGGGAAAGGCCGGGAGGTATGATTTTTAAAAACCCTATTTTCTGTTTTGTGGAAGTTGACAGGAAGGCTAACTCTTGAGAACCCTCTCCACTTTGGAATTCTCCATGCTATTTTTCTGGTAATTCCTTTGAGACTCCATGCTGTAGGGTTCCAGTTCAGAATATGCTGCCATCACCATTTATCAAGGACCACTGTGTACCAGGCACTGTACTAGGTGCTTTGCAAGCTATATTTATTTCTCAAAGCAATCTTGTGAAAGAGTTATTAAGATACTGCTTTATAGATGAGGATGAGGAAATAGAGCCACAAGGTTAGGTAACTTGCCCAAGGTCACATAGTAGGTAGTAGAACCAGGTCTACCCCAAATCTTCCTGAAACTAAAGCCCACGTTCTTTGTGTTCCACTATATAACCTTAAATGTTACCATATTGATGACAACGGTCCTAGGTTTCCATAGCCACCTTCTACCACACAAGTCTGTGGAGAAGGTTAAAGAAAACAGGCAAGGACAGGGTCCCCTTTCCAACACTCTTAATCATATATCTGGGAGGGCTACAGTCCCGCAGGTCCCCATGCACATACGTGGGCAAAGGAGTTAATTCCACCCACCAGAGAGCCTGGAACCGTGGGGCTGGTGGGCCTTGGTGGATTGGCCTCAGCACTGCAACCCGAGCTCCCAGAACATCTGAGCTGGAAGGATCCTTAAAGATGAGTAACCTCCCCTAATGTGACTGGTGAGGAAACTGACCCAGGAGGAGGACATGAATTACCCAAAGCTACACAGCTATTTAGAAGCAGTGTGTATGCATGAGTGTGTGTGAGTTCGCCCGTGCATGCACACATGTGTGTGCATGTGCTGGGGGTGACAGTGGGGGCCTCCTGACTCCCAGGCCCTGTGAATGAGTTCAGGTGAGAAGGCCTTGGAACCTTTGTCTATACCCAGAAGAGTGGCCCATAAAGAATGCTCTTTTAAAATTTTATTTTGTTTTAACGCGAGTAGTTTATTTGGGACGAGGTGACCCTAAGAAATGTCAACAGAGAGTTGGGAATGAGACACAGAAGAGAAGGGAGCCAACATAGTTTCGTTAATGATCAGGTCCCTGCTTTGACCAACCGGGGCTTCATTCCACTAGGAACTTTTGGGAGATGGTGTGGAACGTACCTCAGAGTCGTTTTGCCCAAGAGACGAGGAAGCTGGTCTACTCACCTACCAGCCTCTATTGTCCCTGGTTGTGTACTGCTGTTGAGTGGCATCAAATCCCCAGAACCTTTTGCCAAGCATCCTACAGCAATCAAAGAAAACAAAGGGCTATTTTTAAAAAGGTGTTTATATCTCTGAGTAGCCACCAGTTCTCTAAAGAGTCTTGAAAACTTTTGGGGTAGAGAGGCCTTGGGCATCTGTACCAAGGACAGTCTGGAGAGGAGATGGATGAAACCGAATACCGCCCTCCAGGGCCCAGAGGCAGGTTGTGTTCACAGATGGACAGGGCTATTTCCATGTGCTCTGGGAAGAATGGGCATGTACTTTAGCAAGAGGAGCTGAGTTAGAACTTAAAAAGAACCTCCTGGTGATACTAGTTAAAAACATATCAGGTACCTAGAGCTCATCCAACTATGTAGCTTCTTTGGTTGCCACACAAGACATGACGGAGCAAAGGAAAATGCAGTAGCAAGGAGGGTTGACCTAAGGAGTTTAAGGCTGCTGGTTCTAGGCTAGCCAATGAGCTCTCCTTTATTGGTGGAGCAGGGGACAGGTGGAGGCTTAGTGAAGAAATAATTCTTCACCCTGCCCTTGGTTATTTTAACACCAAGAAGCTCCAAAGTTGGGTGGAATCAACAGGAAGAGGTCTCCTCTCTGGTACGATTTGGGACATCTTACGTGGAGGCAAAACCTTATAAGAAATAAGTCTGAGGTTGCCTAGCTCTCTGCTTACAGCCACCGAACCTCCCTGGGCCCCTAATCCTCATTTGTAAAAAAGGGAGATTGGAAGGCCGAACTAGATGACCCCAGTGTCTCTTCCTGTCCTGACCTTCTGCCACTGCCCACTGAAGAGGCCATCCTCTGGCCCTTGGGTTCTCTTCAATTCTGTCATCAGCAAATATTTATTGAGTACTCATCCTTTGCCCAGCACTAAGTGAGGGGAAGGGAATCAAATGGAATGTAGGCGTTGGCTTCTAGGAGGAGACAGATGGGGGAAAATAAGAGTTAACATCTATTGAGCACTAACTCTGTGCCAGGCACTGTGCTAAACACTTTACATATACTGACTCCTTTACCTCCTACTATAATCCCGTAGAGTAGGTACTAGTACCTCCATTACACAGATGAGAAAACCAGGGCCCAGAGAAAAGGCAACTTGACCAAAGCCATACCATGTCAGAGCTTGGGTTTCAACCTATATTGTGAGCCATGATGCTTCTCCTCTATGAAATAGATAGTGACTCCCTAAGAGCAGCTCCTAATATTCCAGCCAATAGAGCAGTGAAAGCTGGAGTCGCCTGAGAAGGCTTCATGGAGAGATGGCCTTGAGGGAGGGGCAGAACTTGGAGCTGACTGGGGAAGGGAGAAACCTGAGTGCACTAATGCCCCAGGGCAGTCTAGAGTGTGGCCGTCCAGCTAGCAGGTGTCTTCTTATAGTAGGCAAGTGGGCAGCAGCTACGGCTCACCCTGCTGGTGGCTCCATGGGAGAAGAGGAGGAGCCAGGGAAAAACAGATGCTTTCCTAAACCCTCAGGGCAAGAACTCTCCTCTTCACAGACCCAGCCCTAAAAAGCTGAGGTCCACCCCCACTGGAGGTGCTTTATGCCCAAGCCAGGCCTATAAGCATCATTCCTTCCCCAGAATCATTTGGACAGTCTAAAGATGGAGCTGGTTTGGTGTGAATTATCTTCCTTCCAGGTACCTAAGCCAATGGCCAGAGAGCTAGCCCACTGATAATTACAATAGTTAACATTTGTACATAGTGGTGACCATGAACCAGACACTGTTTTAAGAACTTTAACTTAAGCCTTCCATAGAGCCTCATCTTTAGGAGGTAGATACTGTTAGTATGCCCATTTTATAGCTGGGAAACAGAGGTACAGTGAGTTTAACCTGCTCAGAGTCCCACAACTAATAAGAGGCAGAGCCCAGATTTTAACCCAGGCAGTCTACTCTTAACCACTCTACTCTGCTGCTTCTAAGCAGAGGTTCATGAGCTCTGGCCATGGCTGCTTCTTCCCTCTGCGTAGGATACCCTCCTCAAGTTCAGATTCTCCTCCTTACCCAGGGCTAGTCCCTGCCAAGATAGCTCCTCCTTAGAGGGGACTGCAGGAGACACCCCCGCTAGCCCCCACCACTAGAAAGGCCCATTGCTGCCAAAGTGCCCAGTTTCTCTCCCCACCCTCACACCCACATGCACCCTGTCCCCCTCCCCCAACCGAGCACCGTTGCCTTTTGTTCACAGTGATGGCTCCTGCACCCAGACTGGTGGGGGCATGGAGGACTCCGTGGTGGCAGCGGCGGTGGTGGCAGCCGGCAGACCCAGTGCCCATGCCCCGAAGGCTCAAGCCCAGGAGCTGCAGGAGGAGGAGGAGCAGCCAGGGGCGGGGGGTGCCTCCCCACGTGCTGGCCCCCACCGTGAGGCCTCCCCCGGCCGGCAGCAGCCTGCCCTGGTGACGGCGCTCTGCTCCCACGCCCCTGCCGCCTCCGATTACGAACTCTCCCTTGACCTAAAGAATAAACAGGTACCCAGGGCCTCCAATGGGGGGAGGGTAGGGTGGTGAAGGGGCCCTGCCGTTGGGAGCTGTCCAGGGTACCAGGGATCGCTCCATCTGGGCCCACCTCTGCTGCAGCCACACCTCTTTTGCCACTAGTTCTCCCAAGTTGAGCTAAGTAATCTGCCCTTTACTGCAGCCCAGTCCCTCAGGCAACCAGCCTTTACATGGAAGGGTCACACCCTTGCAATGCCAGGCCTTTAGGCAGTGTGCCCAGGACTCTGCTCCTCTCACCCGGTGCAGGAAGCCTAAACTACCCCGCAAAGCACTAAACAAGTGGCCCATTATTCTCTGGGAAAGTCCCACCTCCACTTGCTGCTAAGAAATGATAGTCCAGCTTATGTGCTCACTCAAGGGGCAAACCCCACACCTAGGCACACATGGACTCAAATGAGGTGTAAAGATAGTGGTCTCAATACACCGAGGATTCTCAAGATTAACTCAGATCAAGGAAGTCCAAAGCTCCCCTGTTGGAGAACAATTCCCATTGAGAGGTTCTAGGCCTCCATCTTCTATTCTGTGAAGCACGAAGAAAAAGTGGTCAGTGATGGGGTCCCCACTGAACCCCTCCAAATGATAATGTCACAGTTTTTCTTGGTGACCAGTTAAGAGCCCTGAAGGAAAATCTGTAAGAGTGTGTGTGTGTGTGTGTGTGTGTGTGTGCGCGCGCGCGCGCATGCACACACATGAACGTACTTAAAGAAAGACATTATGACTTGATGTTGTTAAGGAAGAGCATTGAACTTGGAGCCAGAGACAGGGCATCCAATCTTATTCTTGCTCTAGTTAACTCTGCGACTTTGAGGGTGCTAGTTAAGCACTCTGGGCACTGTTTTCTCATCAGCAAAATTGGAACTCAAACCTTGAATGATCTCAGGTTTCTTTTGTTTTGAAACATGTAGGTTCTAAAGAACCAATCTTTAACCCAGTGGACAAGGACAATCTTCCTTCTTTGAGAAGGAAAGCTAGTAGAGGTCACAAAGACTGCGCCAAGCCAAACCAACCTCATCGCTTGCTTTAGACATTAATGTCAAGCTGTTATCCTGGATCAGGGGCCAGTTGTAATTCATTGTATCTGGCTCTCATAAAGTACTTGACAAAGTCTCTCATGATATCTATGTAGATATGATAGAAAGTGGATTAGATCACAGTATAGTCAGGTGGGTTATTCTCAAACAGAATTCTTGTGCGCGCGTGCGCGTGCACACACATGAACGTACTTAAAGAAAGACATTATGACTTGATGTTGTTAAGGAAGAGCATTGAACTTGGAGCCAGAGACAGGGCATCCAATCTTATTCTTGCTCTAGTTAACTCTGCGACTTTGAGGGTGCTAGTTAAGCACTCTGGGCACTGTTTTCTCATCAGCAAAATTGGAACTCAAACCTTGAATGATCTCAGGTTTCTTTTGTTTTGAAACATGTAGGTTCTAAAGAACCAATCTTTAACCCAGTGGACAAGGACAATCTTCCTTCTTTGAGAAGGAAAGCTAGTAGAGGTCACAAAGACTGCGCCAAGCCAAACCAACCTCATCGCTTGCTTTAGACATTAATGTCAAGCTGTTATCCTGGATCAGGGGCCAGTTGTAATTCATTGTATCTGGCTCTCATAAAGTACTTGACAAAGTCTCTCATGATATCTATGTAGATATGATAGAAAGTGGATTAGATCACAGTATAGTCAGGTGGGTTATTCTCAAACAGAATTCTCAAAAATTTATTTTTCTATCAGTGCCAATTCCAGGGTCATCAAGTGGGGGCTATCCTTGGTCCTGTCCAGTTCAATCATTTTAACAAGGCATTACTTTCTGATGACATAGCTAATGGGGGACAGCTAATATTGGATAGAATCCAAGATTTCAAAAATATCTCATCTGATAGAAAGAAGGTTTAAATGGAAAAAGTCACATGAAATAGGGGAAAATCTAAAGTTCTGCTCTTAACTTGGAAAAGCCCTCAGCACTAGTGTAACATGAGCAGGCTTGGTCCTGGGAGGAAGGCCTTGGGGGCTCCAGTTCACTGTCTGCCAAAGATGAATCAACAGCTGGTGAAGCAGCTGCCAAAGAAGTGAGCACAGCAGCCTTCTCAGAGGGGTAGACAAGGCCCCAGAATAAGGGAGCAGCCAGCCAGAGCCTCACACTAGCTACTGGTCAGGACCTGTCTGGAGCCTTTGATTGGTTCTGGGGGCTTCATTTAAGGGAGAAAATAAGAATTCTGAGGTTCTGAGGTTCTCATAAGAAGGAAAACAGGATTGGCTGGAGTCATATGGAGAAACTCTAGACATGAAAATAAGCTTTAAATACTGAAGTGCTGGCATGTGAAAAAGGGATTAGATGTATTTTCTATCAATCCAGGCAAAAATAGTGGTACTAATGTATGAAAGCTATAGGAGAGGAAGATTTTAGCTCAGTGCACAATTAGAGCTGTTAAAAATATAGAATGTCCTGCTTGTGAGGTAGTAAGTTCTGTGTTACTGGGAATACCCACACAGGGGCTGGAACACTGCAGTGTGATATGGGTGGTAAGATGAGAGTCCTCTCAATTCCTCCATGACTCTGCTCCTTGAAGACAGAGACCATCTCTTACTCATCTTTGTACCTTTCCCCTAGCATGTAGCAGAGTGGTCTTGGACATAGTAAGAACTCATTGAGTGAATACTTTTTGAATAACTGTGACATGCAAAGCAACAAGGGAGTGGGCTACAAAAAGAAAAAAAAGATGGTCCCTACCTGCCTCTCAAAGAGGTTACAGTTCAATTTAAGGAGTATCCAGTTAATAACAGCAAAGGAAACTCATGCTTTGGCTTGGGTGAGAGGGCAGGAGAATTGCTTTAATTCAGACTGACAAGGTGGAGAGTTGTACAGTGTTCTGATAAGTATCCTGGACCATTTTTTTTTTTATAGTGGACATAACTCTAATAGGTAGGTTTGCACGTCAGGCCGTCAGGCGTGGGGTAGGAAAGGGCCCTCATGCTAAGTGGATCCAGCCCTGGGGAAGAGCTCGCCACTCCTGGCTCATGTATCTCTCTGAGCCAAACATAGGCTGGGGGGAGGAAGGGGAAAAAGGGAATAGGGAGCTAGAGCAAAGTGGTTAAAAACATGGCACACATGAGACTGAGCTCTGCTCCTCTCTTTTCTGTAAATGAACTTTTTGACCTTGGGCAAGTGGCTTAACTTCTCTGGGCCTCATTGTGTCATATCTCTTTGGGGCTTTGTACATACTGTTCCCTTTGCTTCCACTGCTGATGTTCCTAGTCCCTCCATACTCCTGCACTGGGCCTCCATCACTCCTTCTTTTGCTTTGGGACTCACTTCGGTGCTCCTTCCTTCTCTCTCACAGCTTGCCCTGCCCTCCCAAGGCTGTGCTGGATGCCCCTTCTCAGCAGTCCCATAGCCCAGGTGTTCCTGTGATAACCGTTCAGTGCTATATCATCATTTCCTGTTTACTTGACTTCTCCTTGAAGGCAGGGCACATGACTTAGAATCCCAGTGCTGGGCACAGTGCCTGGCATGAAGAAGATGTTGGAAGCATGAAAAGGGGAAAATAATAACTCAGTGACCTGAAGGGAGATGGGGATGGGCATGGGCATGAGGCCTTTAGCCAGGATCGACTCTACTTAGCTTTCTTTGAGATCTAGGATTTAGTATTCTGATCCTGTGATCTCTGCCAGTCACACAAATCCTGTAATCCTTGGGCTGGAAGAAATCTTGGACAATCATCATCTCCCCAGTCCACCAACCTGTCAGTCTTGCTCCATCAGCCAGTCTAGAATCCCAAACATTTTCCATGGCTCCTCTCTTTATCCTGCATCTGCTCCTTCCCCAAACCCCACTGATTTAACTATTTCCCAAATCCCACCCTCTTCTGCCATCACCCCTGTCCCCACTCTAGGCTAGGCCACCATCATTTCTGGCCTGTGCCCCTGGGCAAACCACCACAGATTCCCCTGCTTCAAGTTGTGCCTCTTCCCACCTAAAATCTCCGCATTGCAGCTGAGTCTTCCTTATGAAGAGCACATCTGATTATGGCACTCCCCTGCATGAAAGCCTTCTATGACCCCTCATGTGTGTTGGACAAACACTTCTCCAGGCTCTTCTACTGCCCCACATCCTGCCTGGCACCCACTTGGGGTTCTAGTCATTCCTATTTGCCTTTCCCCGAATCTCCATGCCGTCCTTTGCCTCTGGGTCTTAGTGTATTTTATTTCCTCTTCTGGGAATACTCCCCACCTGTCCCCCAGTCACCTTTGCCTGGGTGATCTCTCCTTATATGTCAGGCTGTGTGCTTTTTCTGAGTGCCCCACTGCTGGCTCTGTGCTGTCTGGTAGCTGTCTCACTCTAAGGGCAAGGACTATGTCATTCCAAGGCTGTCGCAGAGTTGAGCAGATTGTGCACTGAACAGCACCAGGGGTACTATTCACTTTATAGTCTGTGGAGAAGCGAGTGTTCCCTAGACCTGTGCACTAGGTACTTCCCTGCCCTTGCCCACCATTGTTTTCCTGCACCCAGAATAGTCCCTGTTTCCTAAGAAATGCTCGATATTGGAGCAATACACGAATGAAAGAACAAACAAATGAACAAATGAACAAATGAATGAATGAATGGGGCCTGCTCCAGGCTTCCCTGTTCCCTCTGCCCACAGTCACACTGTGAGCAGGTCCTGCACAGCTTCTCTTGTCCTCTGCTCCCTCTGCCCTCAACTCTCTCACTTCACCTCACAGTGATCCTTGGGGCTACAATCTTGGGGGACAGGAGGGGACATTCAGGTCCTTTTGGGAGGACCTTTAGAAAAGTGGCTGTGGCAAGGATATAGAGGGCATAGGAGTGATTTCCAGATTCACTCGGGCTCTCTAGGGAGTCATATCCTGTTCTCTGCCACCATGGAGGAGAAACCCATTGGAGCCCATGTGGTATGTCCAAATTACATAGCTCTCTATGCTGTCTAAGCCAGGCAGCAGTCAGTAGCATCCAG